GGCCGGGGAGCCGGTCGCAGGGCAGCCGCCCCACCCGTCCAGGCCCCCGCCAAACCTGGTGGTAAGCGAAAGAACAAGAGGCCCTGAGACGGGGGACACAGATGGAGGGACCTGCTCTTCGGGAGATGGTGAACGCACCACTCCCTCCCCCGGAGGAGGGCCAGGCGGAGAATCTTTTGTTTCCTTTTTTTCCGCCACTGACCTCTCGGTCGGTGGTACTCAAATACTCGACAGAAGAGCAAATTCCTCTATCTCTGGGTCCCCAGAGGGGACGGGGGGTTGTGGACGATCCAGTGCCGTATCACACTCACCCTCCTCTCTCGCCAGTGAGCAGCAGTGGGCTGATCGGGAGGACGAACCAACGGACTACCCACACACCCTCTGCTCAAACGCAGGTCAGTGTTACACACACCCAGACCCCGCCTCGGACCGGCTACGAGACGCCCAGGCCGGGTCCCTGAGTTCTTCCACTCTGCCCCACTGCGGGTACGCCTGTAGTTCCGTTGATGCCACTCACGCGGTGTCTGGGAGACTGGCTAGAGCTACCCAGCCCGTCTCGATGGCTCTTTCGAACCGTCAGGCTCGGCTATGCAATTCAGTTCACCCGGCGCCCTCCCAAGTTCTGGGACGTCCACTTTACTTCAGTGAAAGCAGCAGATGCCCCTGTCTTGCGTGCAGAGATCGCAGTTCTGCTGGCGAAGGACGCGATAGAGCTGGTTCCTCCAGCCAATATGAGGACAGGGTTTTACAGCCCTTACTTCATTGTTACTCATTCAACTAGAAGTGTTGCATCCTCCTGGGCGCTGGCTCGTGGTGCCTCGCTGGCAGATATCTGTAGAGCTGCGGGCTGGGCGACCCCTAACACGTTCGCTAGATTCTATAGCCTTCGTGTGGAGCCGTATCCTCCTGTGTTCTCACCTCAAACGGGTAGAAGCACTGAGAGGCCCCGGCTTCAGGTCGGCTTGCTAAAACCACTCCAGAGAGTCCATATAGTAGACCCTGTTGAGCTCCTCCGTCCCCTCGGCAGCCAGATGTGGCGAAGCGTCCGGCGCCAGGCCTTCACTCGTTGAATCCTCGAGAACCGGTAGAAGGCTGAGTTCCATATGTAAGACCTCAGGTAGACCTGTTTGCCGCTCCAGAAACCTCTCACTGCCAGTTGTTCTTCTCCCTGACCGAGGGAACACTCGGCACAGACGCACTGGCACACACCTGGTTGCGGGGCCTTCGCAAATATGCGTTTCCCCCAGTGAGCCTTCTTGCACAGACGCTCTGGAAACTTCATGTCTGGTCCCTGGATACCGGCTCGGCTCCTCAGCGAAAACCTGAATATGCGCTGCATCTGCAGCCTACTTATACTCACGCTGTGATCAGCGGCAGCTGGATGCAATAATCGCATGCCAATGTGCATTGGCTTGTTTAGTTTACACTTGAAGTAGATTGGTCTCTCTAAGCGAGATCCCAATTCGTCTGTCATCCGACGTGACGTCTCCGTTTCCTCCTTCAGGGAACGAGGGTTACCATACGTAACCGAGACGTTTTCGTACAATCTGCTTGCGCTTCACTAGGGGTTATGTTTAGGGTGCGGTCAGGAGTGGACCCTCATGCTTGCTTTTTTTTTTTTCAAAAGTCTTATGTTTTCGTATGATCCACATCATATGAATTCATATAAAATCGCCACCTCAAAAAATAGTTACGCTTTCCATTCCGAATGCATTTGAAATGCTCAGGCATAAAATGGCTTCAACCATAAAATGTAGTTTTTAATAATATTTATGTTTAATAATTACTATAATTGACTATTGTTAATATCTAAATAATACAAGAATAATTTGAAAATAAACATGTAAGACATAATATCCATTGGTTAATCAAATTACACAGATTCATTTTGGCCTTAATAGTGTTGTAACAGAAACACATAATTCTAAGTAGGATAAATGTCTAGGTTGTCATCTGTTAATCATAATAATTATGACTTGGCATGAACACTGCATAATTGTAATATGAGTATTATAGAATGTGTGTGTGTGGGTGGTGAAGGTTTTATGAAGGCTGAAGAATTTTCTGGATTCAGATCAGGCTTGTATGTGATAACATTGTGTGTCTCCAAAAGTGTGTCTCCAATTCTTTGTTTCGAATTTAAAGAAGTCTTTTTCTCTGTATTTACCAAAGACTATAGTAAAAGCCTGCACAGACACACACACACACACACACAAACACATTTAGAAAGAACACACTTGACATATTTGACATATCTAAAACAACAGGTAAAAACACACATGCAATTAATTACAAAGATTATCAATAGAGTATTAAGTCACACATTTTGTAGGACATGGCCTGGCTCTCAGGGCGGGGTGGGAGTGGGTGGGGCTTCATGCTGGGGTCGGGATGCTTGAGTACTTTTAGGGGTGGGTTCAGCTTAAAAATCAGCCCGCTTGATGCATTGTATGTACTTGTATAATCCTTTTTGTCAACAGGGTATCATCACACCCAAATTTCAAATGGGTCACTTCACTAAATGTTCAACTCTATAGAGAACAGTTTCTTCCATTTATTGTGAAATATATTATTGTTGTGAATATACCCAAACGATATGCTACATACAATGCAATATCCGAAGTAGTCTATAAATCACTGAAAATTAATAACATGAATAATCTCAGACAAGTATTCTCAATACAATAACTTCTAAAAAGTAGCCAATACTGCAGTGTACTCAAATGCTTTTAGTTTTGGTTTTCACTAGGGCAGTTTTAAAATTAAAATAAATCTTTTATACTCTACCGTTCAAAAGTTTGGAGTCGGTAAATGAAAAATAATAAATAAATAGTGCTGGGCAATGATTAATCGCGATTATTCGCATCCAAAATAAAAGTTTTTGTTTACATAGTATATGTGTGTGCACTGTGTATATTTATTATGTATGCACATGCATGTATATAATAAATATACACAGTACACACATATATTATGTAAACAAAAACGTTTATTTTGGATGCGATTAATCGCGATTAATCGTTGCCTAACACTAAATAAATAATACTTTTATTCAGCTATTTTATACACTTTAAATTAATCGACCTGTAAAGACATTTACAGTGTTAAGAAGATTTGTATTTCAATTAAATGCTGTTCTTCTGAACTTTCTATTCATCATAGAATCCTGAAAAAAATGAATAAATCACAGTTTCCACAAAAATATTTAGCAGCACATTGAGCAGCACAACTTTTTTCAACATTGATAATGGCAACTAAGCAATTGTAGGAAGGATCATGTGACACTCAATATTGAATTACATTTTTAAATTACATCTATTCAAAAAGAAAACAGTCAATTTAAATTGTAATAATATTAGACAATATTAGGTTTTTACTGTATTTTAATAAATGCAGCCTTGGTGATCATATGGGACTTCCTTCAACAATTCTAAAATGTAAAAAATGTTGCTGAACCAAAAGTTTGAATGGTAGTGTATGTTTGATAATTGTACAAAGTTTCATCTGTTACAGTTTTGCAGGAATATTCATTTTAATTTTAAATATTAGTTTTCTATTTACTTTTAATTATAAATTGAAAATACCTGTTTATATAATACTCTGTAATGTCTTATGTAATACTTATGTAATAAGCTGCTGTGAGCTGATAGAGCAGTCGAGGTGTGAGGGTTTGTAAGAAAGTACAGCACCCAGCTGTATAATGCAGTTAAAACCGAGGGAAGAGCCAGTATTATCATACAGATGTGCCTCACTGTTCAGGGAGAGCAGGTCTGCTTGCTGTAGTCTAACGTTTGTGCCAGTCAGCAAACGTGAACAGCTCCAATAACTGACACACGACTAATAACACTTGTGTTTTGGATGAGAAAGAGTGTGTAAGATGTGCGTATGTAGATGAATGAAGAAAAACAAACATAAGAAGTAAATTAAGATTAATTTAGAAGTAAAAACTGGTATAAAAACAGTCAGTTCACCTCTTTTTCTCAGGTATTCAGGGAGACAACAAAAATAGATACTCAAAAATGGCTATTTTTAAACTTTACTAGATAAACCTTTTTTAAACTTTACTAGATAAAATTGAATCATCCTTCTTGTCATATATAAGATCTAGTTTGTATAATATAATATATATATATATATATATATATATACAGTGTACACTATATGTATAGAAAAATGCAAAAAATGTCATAATCAGGACAGTTGTGTTTGGTGTATGAGCGAGTGTGTGCGTGTGTGTTGGATGGTCGTGGGGCAGGGCTATTTAAAACTGGGCATCATTCTGACTGGACTGTTTGTTTCCGTCTAACAGGAGAAAGAAATGGAAAAGCAGAGGCTTCTTTACCAGCAGTCCCGTCTGCATGACCGCGAAGCGGCTGAAATGGTTCTGCAGATGATCAGTGCTTGCAAAGGTTCACACACAATCACTCACGAACACGTGCATTTGAATTATAACAGAAAGTAACTATTTTTAGTTTTCACTATTTTAACTATTTTTAGTAACTATTCTATTTCAAATAAATGCTGTTCTTTTGACATTTCTATTCGTCAAAGAATCCTGAAAAAAATCTTCACAGTTTCCACAAAAATATTAAGCAGCACAGCTGTTTTCAACAATAATAGTAATAAGAAATATTTCTTATGCATCAAAACAGCACATTAGAATGGTTTCTGAAGGATCATGTGACACTGAAGACTGGATTTATGGATTCAGCTTTTTCCTTTACTGGAATAAATTACATTTTAAAATACATTCAAATCAAACTGTTATTTTAAATTGTAATAGCATTTAACAATATTAGTGGTTTTACTGTAGTTTTGATCAAATAAATGCAGCCTTTGTAAGCATAAGGGACTTTTTTTCAAAAACAAAAAAATCTTATTGGCCCCAAGCATTGGTCAAATAAAATTCTGCCTCTTGTAACATGTTGTTTTAGGTGAGACGGGAGCCATGGTTTCCTCTACTCTCAAACTTGGCATCTCCATCCTCAATGGTGGCAACAGTGATGTTCAGCAGGTCAGCTAATAGCACTCTCTCTACAAATAATGTACCTGTGTAATTTCATAAATGAAGTTGCCATGCTAAGCTTAAGACCTGGTTGTTTTCAGAAATGATCGCAGGAACAGATTAACTCGATACAATATTGACAAAACTGTCTTGATGTCTTGTGACAGAGGATGTTGGACTACCTGAAAGACAAGAAAGATGTGGGCTTCTTCCTCAGCCTACAGGCTCTCATGCAAACCTGCAGGTACATGGCCGCCACTTTCTTTTACTTTATTGTTAACTTTGAAAAGATGTTATTTCTTTGATAATTATGTTGAACTTTACCAACATTTGCAACAAAGAGCGTCTTTTACAGCGCTGTCTATGGGTATTTGGCAGACTGTAGATGTATAATATTAATATGGTGGTTTGTTTGTTGACAGTGTTCTGGACCTGAATGCATTTGAGAGACAGAATAAGGCAGAGGGTCTTGGAATGGTGTCAGAGGAGGGCTCAAGTGAGTCTAACACCGCTGACACCCCAGAACATCCCGTAGTTTTTGCATCCTATGGTGTAAGAGATGGCCCAGTGGTCAGAGGAAATCATTACAATCAAGCTGGTCAGAGGTTTAGTGAATCCCAAAAAGGTGGTTTATTACCACGAGGTGGGGACAAATTCCATGGACACATACTGGACTACAAACAAACTCTGTACAAAACAAAACTGCAACAATATGCAAAGAAAGGCTACACCAACTACTTTGGTCCAATTTGCAACAGGGTCTCTCCTTTAGTTTTCAACAAACAAGTCTTGATAAGCTCTATAGCTCCTTATTTATAAGGGCTAGCTCCCCCTTCAGACTGCACCAATTGAACAAACAGGGTCCATACATACAATAGATTATACACAGAAGAAAAGAAAATAATAAAACATACACAGAAATAACAATCTGCATAAACCCATAGGTACTTAAACACACCATAAAAAAAAGAAAAAGAAAAAAAAAGTAAAAATCGTTCAGCTGCTATTACCCCTTCCCCCAAACAAAACTACCAATGATTCAGTCCAATAAGGGGCATGCTAATGCTATAAACACAAGTTTGATCCACATGGTCTGTTTGATGGTACAGCATGAGACTGGAAGGCCAACAGCCAAAACAAAAGGTTTGGGTAAAATTCTCATCCGAAATAAAGGTAATTCTGACTGTGAATTAAACTATATTTGTGACATTCTTTAAAAAGTATAACTGATTGAACAAAATTTCGGCCAACAAAAAAAACAACAACAACATAGTATCATACTCATTTGAAACAGGCACAACAATTACACAACACCATGATGATTTAAAAGATGGTAAATGCCGGCATAATGATGTGTGCATGTGTATCAAGTCCAGGTGATTTCTTGTCTGTCACCAAGCTTACCTTGTGACATACGGTCTCTCGCATTTTTTAGAAATGAAAATTATCATTGAGTTTAAGACCAATTCACACCATTTCTGATTTTTCAGCATGGAAAATTCAAAACCTTCACAACAAGATTTAAATGAGAACAGGTGTATAAACTCCTCCATGCTGATTCATCCTAGTATGACTATAGGTCTTTTTTTTTGGTATGAAAGCTGGTATAAACGAGCCTTATAAGAAATTGCATAGGTTACATTTAAATGTTCTTATTTTCATAAATACAATAACATATTTTCACAATTATTGAATAGATTGTTGGTTTATCATATGCCCATACTGCAAAAAAAAAATTCTTAATCAATATAATTCAATATATATTTCTTGAAAACAAGTGTTAATATTTCAGTTGTGCTTGTTTAGATAGTTTTACCGCAAAACTATAAAAAACATTGGTTAAGGAAATTATTTTCTGAAGTTTTGTACTTTATCATGAATGTATTATTAATTTTTGGGTCCACAGGAGACATTTCCACTGTATGTGTAAGACTTAGACTCTGTTTAAGAGTGTTTCCCCTTCAGGAACTCGAGCTGTGTCGAAACACTACGGGAATGCCTCTAGCGTGACCACGCTCTGAATCACATGTAATCAGTCCAATGGATGGGCGAGACGTCACGGGCGGGGTGACGTAGCGACCAGGAAGTATAAAAGCATGTGCGGTGAAACCGGCGTCAGCTTTCTGTCATTCAGCAAGCGCTCTGTGTGTGTCAGTCTTATTTGGTGTTGTCTGTCCATTATCACTGTTTATTTTACCAATGCGAGTGTAGACAAACATACGGCGAGAGCCAGCAGCATCTCAGGCTGTGTGTTCTTCCCTGCCCGCGCTACATTTCGGGTGGGGATACACACAGTTTGTGTGTTGTCTGCTTGGGAGTAAAACACGCAGAGTCAGCTGACTGTCCGCATTGCGAGCGTTTGTCACTGCATATGCTTGCTCTCCGAGGGCTCTCTTTGAGGATGGAGTCTTCACCGGCGTTTCTTGCGGCGCCAGCCCCGCTTTCGCTGAGGCGGAGCAGCGGCTGTGCTCATGGGTTTCGCATATGGATCCGGTGGAGGGAATGTTGACGGGCGAGTCCCTATCTTCTTCCTTAACCACCAGATCCAGCGCCCACTCTCGGGGTTCGGAAGCCCGCGCTGCGGTTCTTTCCCCCTGGTGAGAGGGATCGACGCTCTGCCTGTCTTCCTCCGAGGAGGTTGATGAGGGCGTCGATGAGCTCGCCAGTTGCACAAGCATCAGTTACACAAGCATATTATGCCTAATATTACAATGAGCAGCTTTACTGTGGAGCGGAGCTGTTTTACAGTCGCACAAGCATTAAGTCAATAAAATTATTAAAAAAGACTCGTGCAGTCAGCTCTCGGAAATAAGGGGCTGATTGTGCTTCTCCCCGCTGAACGCTCTGCTCCCACCAAGCACGCTTCGAGGAGTGTGTCCGTGCTTGTGAGCTCGTGGTTCAATCCCGCTATTTGCTGAGGCACAGCGGCGATTCAGATCGCAGGGATCGCACATGGATCTAGCGGATGGGTTGGAGACGGCTCGCCCTTTCTGCTGCGGTTCTTTCTCCCCGGTGAGAGGGCTCGACGCTCCGCCTGTCTTCCTCCGAGGAGGTTGATGAGGGCGTCGATGAGCTCGCCAGTTGCACAAGCATCAGTTACACAAGCATATTATGCCTAATATTACAATGAGCAGCTTTACTGTGGAGCGGAGCTGTTTTACAGTCGCACAAGCATTAAGTCAATAAAATTATTAAAAAAGACTCGTGCAGTCAGCTCTCGGAAATAAGGGGCTGATTGTGCTTCTCCCCGCTGAACGCTCTGCTCCCACCAAGCACGCTTCGAGGAGTGTGTCCGTGCTTGTGAGCTCGTGGTTCAATCCCGCTATTTGCTGAGGCACAGCGGCGATTCAGATCGCAGGGATCGCACATGGATCTAGCGGATGGGTTGGAGACGGCTCGCCCTTTCTCCGCCTGCACTCCCTAGATCCAGCGCTCTCTCTCGAGGCTCAGAAGCCCGCGCTGCGGTTTCTAACCCCCTCTGAGCGAGAGCTAGCTGCTGCGGCATATTTTCTCCGAGGAGATTGATATTGTTTTGTCAGGGCCTGGTGCTGGGAGCTCCTAGTCGGCGCATATGCTAGCGACGGATGCATCTTTCACCGGTTGGGAGCGGTCATGAGTGGCCGCTCGGCCCACGGCCTGTGGAGCGGCCACCATCTCACGTGGCGCATAAGTTGACTGGAGATGCTGGCCGTGTTTCTATCTTTGAAACACTTCCTCCCAGGCCTAAGAGATCGCTATGTGTTGGTGCGCACCGACAACACAGCAGTGGTCTTTTATATATGTGGGGCCAGACATCCTGTCGAGGCAGGGGCCGAGGCCCGGGGAATAGATCCCTCACCCCGAGGGGTGAAGCAGACTTGGAGAATCTTTGGCCAGGCTCAGGTGGACTTGTTTGCGACTCAGATGATATTGCACGGTCCCCTCTGCTTCTCTCTCTGACTCATCCAGCTCCACTGGGACTGGAGGCCATGGTACAGATGTGACCGAGGCTTCGTCTCTGTACACCTTTCCCCCAATTGTTCTGCTCGCAGGAGTTCTGGAGAGAGTGCACTGGAACGAGGTCAGTCGACTGCCAGTAGCCCCGAGTATGGTTCTCTGACCTGATTCCTCTCTACGACGGCGTTCCATGGGAGATTCCCGTCAGGAGAGATCTCCTCTCACAGGCGGAGGGCGCTCCCCTGCCCGGAGCTGTGGAAGCTGTGGGTGTGGCCTCTGAGGAGGCACAACTCATAGCTTCTGGTCTCTCAACCAAGGTTGTTGAGACCATCCTCCATCCAGAGCTCCCTCTATGAGGAAACTGTACTTCTTGGTGCGGAGACTGCCTGCTCGACCCAGCTAACTGCCCGTTTGGTACAGTTCTGGAGTTCCTGCAGGTCTGTTTATCCGCAGGGTTGACCCACACCACCCTAGAGGTCTTCATGGCGGCCATTGTGGCCTACCACGCCCCTCTCGGTAGCCATTCAGTGGGAAGACACCCTCTTCTTACACGTTGGCGCTGAGGCCTCCGGCCAGAGAAGCTTATGCTAAGTGATGGATCAGGATTCCATAGCCTTGAGCCCTCTGATCTCCCCTCTCCTTCGGGGGTCAAGGCTCACTCCTCCAGAAGTTGGCCTTCGGGACGGCGAGCCCCGCCTATATTAGCCATTCCTGGCTCCCTTTTCTCTCGTCTTAGGCAGGAATTTGTAAGTCTGGCGGCGTGGGCATTCTCATTCCCGTAGCGTTTCGACGCAGCTCGAGTTCCTGAAGGGGAACGTCTCCAGGTTACGTATGTAACCATGGTTCCCCGAAGGGAACGAGACGTTGCGTCTCAGGGCCATACTTCCGGCATCCCTGCCAGCGCTTGCTTCACTCCTAGAAGCTGACGCCGGTTTCACTGTACGTGCTTTATACTTCCTGGTCGCTACGTCACCCCGCCCGTGACGTCTTGCCCATCCATTGGACTGATTACACACGTGATTCAGTGCGTGGTCACGCTGGAGAGAGCGTGACCCTCTTTCCTTTCTGTCCCGTAGCGTTTCGACACAGCGTCTCGCAGCGCTTGCTTCACTCCTAGAAGCTGACGTCGGTTTCACTGCACGTGCTTTTATACTTCCTGGTCGCTACGTCACCCCGCCCGTGACGTCTCGCCCATCCATTGGACTGATTACGCATGTGATTCAGAGCGTGGTCACGCTGGAGAGAGCGTGACCCTCTTTCCTTTCTGTTCCGTAGCGTTTCGATGCAGCGTCTCGTTCCCTTTGGGGAACCATGATTGCATGCGTAACCTGGAGACGTTAATGTGCATTATCTTTGTTTCTTACAGAACCATCATAGTGTATCTGTTTGTGTTAGTCTGTTATATTTCCCCTGCCGGAAGCCTACAATCCTACAGGGTCCAACTCACTGCCTCTCTCTTTCTCCCTACCACCATCACTCCATCCCCAACCTCCCCTCATATGCCTCTCCTCTCCTTCTTTACCCCTTCTTATTTTTCAGACATCAAGCTAGAACGTGGTAAATAATCTTGTCTCTATATATTTATCATCACTCCCTCTTTCCTTTCTGTCCCATCTCCTCCTGTCTTCCTCCTTTTTTCAGCTTTTACATTGTGATGATCTCCTCTCATTTGCGTGTAGTTTACCTGAATTTGATTTCGCGCTCAAGGGAACTTAAAAGAGAACTCTTCAGTCATTGCAAAGGTTTTTGTCAGCCAACTCCTTTACGATTTTCTAGATTCCACATTATGAAACAATGTTATACAATTCTCATGATACTCTTATTGGATTCTGTTTTCAGAGAAGTTTTCTATTACAGTTTATCCTGTTGTGTGCAATGGCTGTAAAGGCTCTTTGCACTTTGCCCTTGAGTGCTGTCACAGATCTACTGTAACTCCAGCATTCCTTGACTGATTGAGAGGAAAGAAAGACATTTGTTCTTTCTTTTCTGGTCAGTTTTCTCTGAGGAGATCACAGAGAACTGTGGTGACCAGTGTCACCAAAATCATGATACAGGATACAGATACAGGAAACTCCCCAAGTCCTTTATCCTCAGAAATGAGCCATCTAACATTATTTGAACCATTCCCTCAAATAATGAGCTGCCACGTTTACTTAAGAAGGACAAAAGCGTCTGACATGGCACAGTATAGTAAAGAGATTATCTAGTTTTTAGTCTGTAGAGCATTTTTTAACCTTCATTAGTGGTCATCTGTAACATCAACAAAACTCATCTTCCTTTTAATTCTTGCAAAGTTTGCTCAGATTTGCTCTCCTTAAAAAAAGAAAAAAAATGTTTTTAGTGTTGATTGATGCACACGATATGCAAACCTCTTCTAATGCACAAACAATTTTTCCTAGGTTTTGTGTTACAATATGAGGTTTAGTGTTACTACATCAGGTCAAAAATGACCCATCTATGCAAGTGTGATAAAACAAAAGAATAAAAACAACTTTTTTTCAAATCAATTTAGCAGTTAGCAAACATTTTAGCATTTATATCAACATATTTAATGCTTGAAATATGTTTATTTGCCACTTTGTCACTCAAAAGATTATTATATCACTGATAACCGATCACACTGAAATTGTGCAACTGAAGTGTAGTGCAACTGAAGTGAATTCTAGTGAATGTGATGGAATACAAGACTGACAAAATAAAATCGCATGGGTACAGCTACATCTCAAAACTGCCATCTCAGTGCTTACATGCCTCACAAATGACAACTACACGTTTGTGCTCCTTGCACACAGGCCTGGTGCAGCTGCTGACTTTTCTGTCTTTGGCAGATGGGCAGATCCTGCACCTCTTCCTCTTCGTTTGGTCCTCTTGTGGCCAGGTGGTGGCTGTGTTTTTTCCCCATTCCCATCCCAGTGTTCTTCCCATTGCCTTTGTAATATGATTTTGAAGGTGGGGTGTGACCTCCAAGCACCTTTTCCTATGTGAATGAATGAATGATGCATTTATATAGCTCTTTATTGTGTATTGTTGTATACCCAAAGTGTGGTGGGGGGGGGTCTCTTCTCCTCAACCACCACCAGTGTGCAGCATCCACCTGGATAATGCGACGGCAGCCACAGGACAACGGCGCCAGTGCGCTCACCACACACCAGCTATAGATTGGAGAGGAGAGAGTGTCATAGAGCCAATCAAGTGGATGGGGATTATTAGGAGGCCATGATAGACAATGACCAGTGGTGGCAATTTGTCCAGGACACTGGGGTTACACCCCTACTCTTTACGAGAAGTGCCATGGGATTTTTAATGACCACAGAGAATTCTCATGTGGCGTGAGAAGCTGTTTGACAAGCTCCTTGATGAATAGCCATCATGCATTGGCCACACCACCCATGTCATCAGGGTGTTGTGCAGTGAAGTTGGTGTAGGCCAGCATTCAGCATTGGTCAGCATTGGTCCTGGAGAGAAACGGTTCTGCAGAATTTAGCTCCAACCTTGATAAAAACTCACCTGCCTGTAGCTTTCTAGTAACCCTTAGACCTTGATTAGTTTGTTCAGGTTTGTTTGATTAGGGCTGGAGCTGAACTCTGCAGGACTGTGGCTCTCCAGGACCAGCGTTGGGTGCCCCTGGTATAGGCACTGAGGATGGCAACATCCAGCACATTGTACCATAGCACCATGGGCCACCTCCGTGTTCTCCGGATACACGAGTAAATGCGGACCGTTTTTACTCAATCTTTTGAACTAGGTTTGAGTTTCCTCTTCAGAGGACTCATCAGACAAGACTTTGATGTCATCCACTGAGTCTTCTTCATCTAGAAGAGCTGAATTTACACCCACAACTCCAGATTGACCCTGTGGCACATAGTCTAGATCATCGTCATTAGATATTTCAGGACTAAGAACTGCTTGATCTTTCTCGTCTTCTTCATGCAGCATCTCTACAACCATTTCAGCCTTTAATCTAGAATGACTGGGACCAGCCATGCTAACACTGGATAAAGAAATTTAAAAGCACAGGAATATTTTCAAATGCACAACAAACAGAAACCTCGTATGTCCAAAACCGTTACTTTTCAGGAACACTGACAGACAGAAAGGGTGACCAAAAGCATTGATTTATGACAAAAAAATACAATTATGAAATATGGAGATACAAAGTTTCTGCCTGACAGTGAGGATATATACTTGTATATAATAACGTTGTATTTAAATTTTTATTTTGTTGAGCTAGCTATCATTAGTTAGCTAGAATAGAATATTGCATCCTAAATAGTATATATATTTAGTATGTCCCAAATCGTAGTATGTTGAGATGAGTATTCCAAAGGTACCCGGATGGTGTACTGCTTCCGGTAGAAATTCGAAGTGCACACAACACATTGCATGGTCGACGGGGATTCGATTAGAACTACAAACATGCATGAAAAGTGAAAAAACGACAAACATGGCAGATATGCAAGACAGACGGACAGGTAAATAATCAATATCTAACCTGTTGAAAAAATATTTAATGAATGTTATACGTGTTATATTTCATCTGCAGCAACACTGGTATCGATACTCGAGACCACGATCAGCAATGCAGCGATTGGCTGGTGGCAAGACGAAATGACATCATATAAATAAAAAAGACACCTGGCGAAAAAACTTGACAAATTTCTGGAAACAACCAAGCGAACAAAAATACATAAATGTAATACTTTGAAGCAGATTTGTTACGTGACAGCATTAATTAAAGTTTCTTAGGGGTCAAGATCATGTTATCTGCATCTCCTGCACTCCATTAAGCCACTCCCATAATAGCTGTCACCACTCAAATTAATGCACAAATCAGATTACATGTGTGTAAGACTCCAATACAATTATAAAGTAATTATTTCATCACAAATACATTTTTCAAGAGTAAACCTGGATGTGTCTATGGTGTTATAGATGATGATTACACAACATTATAGTATTTTTGTATACATTTTTTAATTATTATTATTATTTTAAATTACTGTCCCTGGATCAGGGTTCTCTTCTAATAAAGAATGCCCTAACTTTCTCTGGCTCATCTCTCCCCTCCACTTCTCTCCCACACCTCCAGGAGTGCAGTTGCTCTGTTTTGCATGACTGTGTGTCTGTGTGCTGTTTTTTGTTTAGGACCAAAACTCTTCTCCATTTGTGTCCTCCATGAAGATCTCACTGTGTAGTGTGCCATTTCAGTGTCGGTTGTGTTTATCCATGTTCCATGTCTGTTATTTCCCTGTATATTTCTGTACAGACAATGCTAATTTTTGTTCTTTTTATTAGTCTTTCTCTTGTCAAATAGCATCTTATTCCATCACATATCCTTCATAGCACATTGCCCATAATCCACCAATGCCCTAACTTTCTCTGGCTCATCTCTCCCCTCCACTTCTCTCCCACACCTCCAGGAGTGCAGTTGCTCTGTTTTGCATGACTGTGTGTCTGTGTGCTGTTTTTTGTTTAGGACCAAAACTCTTCTCCATTTGTGTCCTCCATGAAGATCTCACTGTGTAGTGTGCCATTTCAGTGTCGGTTGTGTTTATCCATGTTCCATGTCTGTTATTTCCCTGTATATTTCTGTACACTGTGATGTTTTCTTTCATTTAGTGTATAAATGTCCCTTCAAAGTCAGGTCTCTGCCTCCCCTTTCCACGTTTGCTGGTCTGCTCTGTAGTGAACAGCTAAACGGATGTGCCACAGCAGGTCTTTGTGGTTCACTAACATGCTAATAGGGGCTGGAAGTGCTATGAAGTGGATTTATACTCACAGAACACACACCTTAATCACCCTGAATACTGAAGGGACAGTTCATAAAAGGTAACACTTTACAATAAGGTTCTATTAGTTAATGTTAGTTAACTAACATAAACAAACAATGAACAATACATTTCTTACAGTATTTATTCATCTTTGTTAATGTTAGTTAAAGAAAATACAGTTGTTCACTGTTAGTTCATGTTAATTCACAGTGCATTAACTAATGTTAACAAGCACAACTTTTGATTTTAATAATGCATTAGTAAATGCTGGAATTAACATGAACTAAGATTAATAAATGCTGTAGAAATACCGATCATTCTTAGTTCATGTTAACTAAAGTTGTTAACTAATGAACCTTATTGTAAAGTGTTATCAGATCAAATATAAATGTTCAAATTCAACTTTCTGTTCGTTGACGAATCCTGAAAAAAAATGGTATCATTAATGTAATAATATTTCACAATATTACTATTTTTGTGCTGTATTTTTAGTGCAGCCTCGGTGAGCATAGAGACTTTAAAAACATTTAAAAAAGGTTTACCTAACCCAAACTTTTGAATGGTAGTGTAAATGCATAGCATTACTAATAAAAACAAAAAATCAGCCTGTTTTGGGTTACCATCTTTCTCCAGATTTCCAGAACTATCTGCGCACACAGACAGGCAGCACAACTACGATCAACATCATCATCTGCACTGTTGACTATCTGCTCAGACTACAGGTACAGCTTTAGCTCCACTGTCTTCCTCTACATCCCTATATACAGTATACTAGCGCCAAAAGTATTCGGACACTTACAAATGTGTTAATGTCATTGTGTTTGAGAACAAGAAAACAAGTGGCAGATGGCTAAAAGCATCAGTGAAATGACATTCAAATGTGGCTCAAGTAAGCTTGGTGGTCTCTTATTTTGGTCCTTACTCTTCATTCCTTTCTCAGGAGTCTATCAGTGACTTCTACTGGTATTACTCTGGGAAGGATATCATTGATGAACCAGGCAAGAGAAACTTTTCTAAGGCAATGACGGTTGCTAAACAGGTTTTCAACAGCCTGACAGAGTATATCCAGGTACTGGCGTCACCACTATATGCAGTCGAGCTCTTTCAGACTTGCACATTTCTGTCTTCAATATAGTTTATCTGTATTTTGTTTCTCCACCATAGGGTCCTTGTACTGGTAATCAGCAGTCCCTGGCTCACAGCAGGTTGTGGGATGCCGTGGTGGGCTTCTTGCACGTGTTCGCACACATGATGATGAAGCTAGCACAGGTAGGAACACATATGTTGAGCACACACACTCACACACACACACACCACTAACGTGACTGATAAATCTTATTATATTAATCGATTTGATTGCATCTAGAAAACCCCGGAATTTTCCTGGAAAGGTTCCATCAACACTGAATCAGTAACGTCTGTATGTTGTTTTATTTTGACATTAAAATACTTGTCATTGAGTTTTGCCTAATCTAAAATCAAAACATAATTTCACCAACTTTACACAGAGGAAATAAGAGGGAAAAAATGCATTGTATTTTTTAGTATGTATTGCTGCAAAAAAATGTTTGTGAAAGCATTTTTAAGATCAGGTATATTGGATGTTAAATCAGTTGAAAGCTTTTCTCAGATGTTCCAAATTAAAATGTTTATAGTGTTCGAGCTGCATAAATTATGAAATGTGTGCATTAGAGCAGAAGTCAAATGCATGTAATTCATGTGCATACTTATATATTCTATATAAGTATGATCAGAGTAGACTAATGAAGAATATTTTCTCTGTTTTGGAAGTTGCATTTTTTTCAGCACTAACGTTTAGTTGTTACTATGCATCGTTTAATTAAATAATAATTAAATAATTTTATTTTATCCTTTAAAAAAAAAAAGTTACTGATCCGTTTACTAATTTGTTGTTGACTGTGGATGGTTATTAACTTCCTGAGTAGGGGTGTTCGATTCCAGGTTTTTCAGAGTTGATTCCGACTCGTGACTCCCTCCATAAGAGCCGATGGAATCAACTCCATCCTCGACTCCTTTTACTTTACATCAAATAATACAAGATTGCAGTCGTTACTACACACTTAATTAACGACTCCGACTCTAGGGCTATTCAGAGTTGAGGAATCGACTCTTTTGGAGTCGACTACCCATCACTATTCCTGAGTCAATTTCTGCCTCTTCATATCATTAATTATAGATTTAAAAGAAACCTTATCGGAAGTATGGACCTTTTTCACATTTCCGGGTTTCTCAGCAGCGGAAGTCGTTATAGTTGGGTTAACTTGAAGAGCAGTGAATGGGAGAGTACCACAAATATATTTTTTGCATTCCCATTTGCTCAAATAGCAAAAGAAAAACTCTGTTGTAAATGTACATACATTTATAAAACGGATAGTTCCGGTCCTTGATTCTGATTGGCTGAGCCATGTTCAAAGCTGTTGTACATTACTCTACAAACATACACCTTTGTTTACGTTTGTCTGTTGCTTGGCAACCACTTTGTTGCGACCACAACATTGTTTGGTGGAGGAATACTGTTTTTATTAATATCATTACACTTTATTTGCTCTGTTTTATTTTAATAACTGTTTTATAAAAGCAATAAGCCCTGTGAAGCCGTGGTTTACAGTGAATTTATAACAGCTAAGGGTGTTTTAGTGGGGTTCTAAGTGGTTTACAGTGAATTTATAACAGCTAAGGGGGTTTTAGGGGGTCCTAACAACGCCCCTAAGCTGTTATAAATTCACTGTAAACCACGGCTTCTTGGGGCTTATTGCTTTAAAAGAAACTTGGTTGTTAAATTTCTTTGGAGTTTCATATATTTTATGGGAAGCTTTTCTAAACTGTAATTAAGATTTTAATTGTGGTGTAAATAGAATATAATTTTTCTGATTGTGGTGTTTATCGGTTGATCACTGTTTATAGTGTAATATTCCAGTAACTATTTCCAAACTGGATTATAGTGTATTATCAAATGGATTGTATTTCACACTCTTGATATTCTATTATATAAATGTTTAGTCCGGTATCACCACTAATCCATGAATGTGGAACATGTTCACAGTGTGACGTGACTGTTGACGCTCTAGTAATCTTTAATCATGTGTTGTTTCTCTTAACCTCTCTGTTGTGTTGTTTGATTTTGTTCTAATATTTGTTACACATCTGGTACCTGTGTACTGCATTTTTGTATTTCTTAAAGGGGTGGTTGATTGCGATTTCACTTTTTTAACGTTAGTTTGTGTGTGATGTTGCTGTTTGAGCATAAACAATATTTGCAAAGGTACTAAGTTGAAAGTTCAATGCAAACAGAGATATCGTCTTTTAAACTGCTTATGGCAATTTAATGCCTACAAAAACGGCTCGTAGGGACTACAACGAGTTACTTCCCAGGTTTGTGACGTCACAAACCCTGATAAACCCCGCCCCCAGGAACATGCAATGAAGGGGACGAGGCTATGCTGCGCTGCTTTAGAGAAGAGGAAGAGAAAACTAGAGGTGCACGTAAAAATACTGTTCCTCATGTCCCCCTGCTCTGCACACGCTCTGCATCTCTCTCTCTCTCTCATTCAGATCATCAGCTCAGCTCTGTTCCATTTATATACTTATTTTCACATAGCTATGAGAAGCGTTAAACATGGACGCGCGTGCAGTTGCCATACTGTATTAAAGCTTTAATCAGGATAAAACCGTATATTAAAAGCTAACAGAAGCAGTAGCATTTACAAATAACAGCGTATCTAAAAGTATGAGACAACAACAAGCAAACATACCATTAAGAGCCGTGCTTGCAGAGGTTCTGAGCGATCCTCTTCACTAATATCCTCTGCTTCTCAATCGGGCTGAAACTGATAAGCGATATTAACGATGCCGTTGTTTACAATACAACCGGAGCACATGCCGCTGAGGTGAGGGGCCGGACGTTTAGACACGCACCAGAGGCGGTTTAGCCAATCACAACACACTGGACTAGCTAACCAATCAGAGTCCATCGCCTATTTCTGAGTGCGGGGCTTCATAAAAGCAGGAAATGATCAGCGCGTTTATCAGAGAAGGGACAGAATAAAGGTAAATCATGTGAGAAATAATGCGTTTTGTTTTTTTTAAACGAAGCATGAACACATGTTAGACTGCACCCCATAAACACAATCAAGCCTAGAACAAAACCAGTCAACCACCCCTTTAAAATTGAGAATCTCTGCCACTCTCTCAGGCTTCAAAAATATGAATGTAGCCGATAGTGAAACATTTAATTGTCTGTTGAAAGATCAGTGCCCATATGTCAAAGTTGCTTCATCACCAAAAAATTGACACGGTTGTGTTTTATAGTATAGGTGAGGCCAAAAAGAGGCCAACATAAACTAAACTTACTTAATTTTTCTTTGCCCTGGTTGTCTGCATAAGTAGAAGAGAGCGACTATAAAAAACAGACATGCAAATTAAAAATATATAATAATGAGGAAAGAGTGAATATATCTAAGAGAATGGGAAATACAAAAATGTATTAAAAATGTTGATGGGTAATATTTTTATTCTGATGTGTAACCCTGCCAGATGCACCCTGACCAAGGACTCCGAAATGGCGTAAGGATCTTTGTTTTTGCTTCCATCTTACGCATTTTTGCACTGCTTTTCACACACGTACACAGTGCACAGAACAGTTTCTTCTTTGTTTCCTGTTTCCGTTGTATTGCTTATGTGTCGGCACGTTTTCTGCAAGTGTTTTCACTTGCATTTTTTTGTCATGTACATTTCCTCTGTTCCCACAGTATCAGTGTTGAATTTCTGAAAGCAGTCTTAACCTTGTTGGGTTTATTTTGATATAGTGGAGCTGAGGGAGGTGTCACTATGCCGTGTTCTTGCTGTTGCTCACTTGTAGAGGAAATGTATTTCCCTCGACCTGCGCTATATAACTCTTTTCATATGCAGACATACATATGTTCTCAAGAAAATCTGTACAATACTGCATAAATCTCACAAAATCTGTCAAGATCATGTCGGGGTCATATTTTAAAAAGTATGATATAATTTTATATATGTTTTGTTTACTTTCATACTTTTGTTGCAGTGTGTGTGTGTGTGTGTGTGTGTGTGTGTGTGTGTGTGTTTTTCAATTAAAATTAGCTTAAACCAAATGATATTCATTATAATATTGTATTATAAACTTATGAATATAATATACATTTGTTATTGTTATTATTCATGCATAAAACTTTTCATGACAAGATAATCAAAAATAGGCTTAATTTTATTTGAAGTAATATACCATTTCTTTATTTCTTCCTTTTGATTTTGCTGTGAAATATCAAAAAGGTTTTGTGAGATTTGTCTAATATTTCTTAATGTATACGTGCAGGCCTTTGTGCTCTTTTGTTGTTATACATGTTAATGCATATACTGTGTTTGCAGATGTGTGTGATATTGTTCTGTATGAAAGACTGTTTTTGTGTCTGCTGGCATTCCTTCACAATATGCTTTTAGACCATCAGCTAGGCACATATAAAATGTGCTTGCAAATAACCTAGATATTTATTGTTAATAATTGAAATTACATATTACAGTGTAAGTACAGTTTATGGCAATATTTTGCAGATACAAAGTCATAAAGAATATGATAGTCCTCATCTATGCCAGGAGCTGACATCTGTTATCTTCATATCCTCTTTAAATGTCCCTGTGTTAGATGATAGGTTACAGTATCTGATGCTATGTTTGTGTCTGTTTATAAACGCAAACCCAGGATCATTTCTGGAGTAGAACACATTCTGAGGTAAGCTGAGAATAGGTGGACTTTGTCCCAGTAGTTCTATCTCCCACATCGCCCCATAAAATAAAACACATGCCAGAGATGCTAGTTATGCCACTAAAATCAATTTTAACCTAATCGGGATACTTGGTATTCTCGGTACATCTCTTTTCATGGTTCCATGGTGCATATCATATTAAACACTATGGAGAACCAGTTCTAAGCAATATGAACTGAAAGGTCCTTTATGCTCTCTAACAGTGAGAGTTTGAGACATTTTGTGGGAAATGATTTTTTTTTTTTGTATGTCTGAATTTGGTTGTGTGCAACAGGACTCCAGTCAAATTGGTCTGTTGAAGGAGCTTCTGGATCTGCAGAAAGACATGGTGGTGATGCTTCTATCTCTACTGGAGGGTAAAAGATATCTGTCCATCAAATTTAACTTTCATAGTGACCTACAAACCTGTAAAGCCACTTAAGTCATGATCTATAGCCTATTTTATTGTTTTATTACAGGTAATGTTGTGAATGGCACAATTGCTCGCCAGATGGTTGACATGCTGGTTGAGTCATCCAGCAATGTAGAGATGATTCTCAAGTTCTTCGACATGTTCCTCAAACTGAAGGATATTGTGGCATCGGATGCCTTCCGTGACTGTGTGACGGACCCTCGTGGCCTCATCTCCAAGAAGGACTTCTCCAAGGCTATGGACAGTCAGAAGCAGTACACACCATCTGAGATCCAGTTCCTGCTCTCTTGCTCTGAAGCAGATGAGAACGAGATGATCAATTTTGAGGAGTTTGCTGATCGCTTCCAAGAGCCAGCCAAAGACATTGGCTTCAACATTGCTGTGCTACTCACCAACCTGTCTGAGCACGTTCCTCATGACACCCGCTTGCAGAACTTTTTGGAGCAAGCTGAGAGTGTGCTGAACTACTTCCGACCCTTCCTGGGCCGTATCGAGATCATGGGCGCCTGCAAGAGGATCGAACGCATCTACTTTGAAATCAGCGAGGCCAACCGCAACCAGTGGGAAATGCCTCAGGTCAGAGAGTCCAAGCGGCAGTTCATCTTTGATGTCGTCAATGAGGGTGGTGAGTCTGAGAAGATGGAGCTCTTTGTGAACTTCTGCGAGGACACCATCTTTGAGATGAACATTGCCTCGCAGATCTCAGAGCAGGAGGAGGAGGTGATCGAAGATGAGGATGAAGAAGATGAGGAGAAGAGCATTGGTGGCGGAAATGGAGAGGGAGAAGGAGAAGGGAATGGAGAAGCAGCACCACCTGAATCCAGCTCAGCCTTTGCAGACTTCATCAAGAGCGTAATGAATTTCATTAACCTCTTCACTTTCCGCAATCTCAGACGTCGTTACCGCAAAATCAGGAAAATGACCATAAAGGACATGATTGTTGGTCTGGTGATGTTGCTCTATACTGTCCTCTTTGGCATCCTGCACTTCATCTACAGCGTCTGCCGAGGTTTCTTCATGCTCATCTGGAACACTCTCTTCGGAGGAGGTCTGGTGGAGGGAGCTAAGAAGATGACATTCACAGAGATTCTGACTAACATGCCAGACCCAACTCAAGATGAGGTGCACGGTGACCTTCCACCTGAGCCAGGAGCAAGAAAAGCACAAGAATCAGGTGGAGCTGCTGAGGGAGAGGAGGGAACAGGAGGAGGAGAGGAGGAAGCCGAAGAGGGAGAAGAGGATGATGGTGGAAGACCAGGTTTTGGTCCTCACGGCGGTCTAGGAGATATGGGAGAAACTGAGCCAGAGGAGCCTCCGACTCCAGAAGGCAGCCCACTGCTGAAGAGGAAGCTGGTGAGAAGAATCTTTTTGAGTGTTTAGTCTAAAGATGCGGTCGGTCATAGTTACTTTTGTTCGGCAAATTTTCACACCCGAAATTTGGTCATTTCAGAAGGAATTACTTAGTCAGCAATTTAATTTGAAGGTAAAATATTTCCCCATGATTTTTACAATGTTTACAATTTGATCACATGGATATCTGTGACTTCTGTAAGAGTGGTGCTTCATAATCACAACACTATAGGCAGTAGACTATGGATCTTTTTAACCTGTGAAATTTTGTCCAAATTGTACTAATGTGAGAATAAACATCCAGCATGTGGATAGTTCCTCACCATGTTTTCACGTTGTTATCTTTCAGTTTGTCAAATATAATGGTGCTTCTTGCTTTGTAGACTCATAATCTAAATCTCTTAATCTATATATTCTTCTCCTTAATGTTTGGCCGGATATTTCAGGTGAGTGAAGAAGCAGAGGGAGAAGCAGTAGAAGAGGAGAAAGTAGAGGAAGAAGCAGCCCCTGAACCCGAAAAAGCAGAGTAAGTAATGGAGAATTGAAAAAATGATCAAACTAATTTCTTTTACCATAAAAAGTATTTCGTTGGTGAACTGTTGTGAAGCCATATTCATCACAACACATAGACATTGTGCTGTTGTTGCTTTGACTTATCCTTCTGTCCATCAAAGTGCTGAAAATGGAGAAAAGGCCGAGAAGGAGGCAGAACCAGAGCCAGAGGAAAAACCAGATGAAGAGCAAGAGGAGAAAAAGACAAAGGCTAAAGCAAAGAAAGGCAAGAAGAAAGAGGAAGAGGGCTTTGAACTATGGAATGAACTTGAAGTCCAAAGAAACAAGTTCATGGTAATTATATTATAGTTATTTATCTGTGTACATCTTATAATATTATATTATTATGAAAATTTTTCTTTCATCATTTTTTTATTCTAACTGCATTTAAAAGTCAAACCACTTTCTCTTCTTCTAGAACTATTTGTCTCGTAATTTCTACAACCTGCGCTTCCTGGCTCTCTTCATCGCCTTTGCACTCAACTTCATTCTGCTCTTCTACAGGGTCAGTATGATTTTAAAGTGCCCCTATTATGGGTAATGAAAGGTTCATATTTTGATTTTGGGAGTCCACAAGTACAGGTTGACATGCATGCAAGGTCAAAAAACACTTTCATTGTCTTATAATATGCATTTATTTTGACCTTATTGCTCAACGACTCCCAAACGATTCGCTCAACGATTCATTTTTCCAAACCCCTCCTTTGCCTGACGCTAATCTGCGGTGATTGGTCCGATTGGTCTCATTTTCATTTCATCATGCCTGTAATGCCTGATAAAGCAGCGTTTGTGAGCACAGTGCTGCTTTGTGTACAGCGTTACCTGGGAAACCACTATTCTAACCACTCCAAAAGCTGCACCTAGTGGCAGAGAATGAATTTGCATTTTCATTCAGACCCACGCAAAAAGTTTTCCTAAGTCAAGTTTTCCTAAGTCTGCGCGGAATAAATGGGCGGGCAATATGCTAATGTTTCATGTTGACCTCAACATGAAATGGCTTGGGATTCCTTTTAAAAATGCACTTTCAGATACACGGTGCACTTCCAGATTTAAAACTTTGCAGGATGTTTTCATTCACTTAGAGCTGTGTAACACTGCATGAAAGGTAATTTTCAAAAGTCCATAATAGGGACACTTTAAAACAGGGCTTTTCAAACTTTGGTCTTGGGTCTTTATTATGCTTTCTAAAGACTTGTTAGTGAGGTGTTTAATTGCAATTTAACAGAAATTTTTTTATTAAATAATTAATTACATGAAAATATATGACTGCCGTTGTATTTTAGGAAGAGGGTCCCTCTCAATCATAGTTGTGGGGTCCTTGGTATTAAACAGTTTGCGAACCCCTGCAATAAAATACCATGTGATTCCCTGTAATTTGTTTCAAGAACATATTTGATTGAAGCTAGCCATTCCTCCCTAGGTATCTGACAGCCCGCCTGGAGTAGAGGAGGATTTTGAGGGTTCGGCTGTGTTTGAGGGTTCTGGCATATTTGAGGGCTCTGGTGTGTTTGAAGGCTCTGGTGTGTTTGAGGGATCTGGGATCTTTGAGGGCTCTGCTGGAGAAGCTGAAGGTTCTGGAATGGAGGAGAATGAAGAGGAAGAAGGGTTTGTCTACTACTTCCTGGAGGAGAGCACTGGATATATGGAGCCCGCTTTGGCCTTTTTTTCCATCTTACACACCATCATTTCCTTCCTGTGCATCATCGGCTACAACTGTCTGAAGGTCTGGAGCTCACTGGATTCTGTTATCATTTACTCACCCTCATGTCATTTCAAACCTGCATGACGTTCTTTCTTCTGTGAAACATTAGGAGAAATTTAATAGTGTCCACAGAAAGGACCAAAAAGCACCATGGAAGTGTCATAAATGTGGTCCATACGACTTGTACACAATATTCTATATGTCTTCTGAAGCCATACAATAGCTTTGTGTGAGAAACGGATCAAAATTTACATATTCCTTCCCTTCAGGCGAGTAAATGATGACAGAAATTTCATTTTGGTGTGAAATATTCCTTTTCGTTTGGTTAAGCTAGTGTGAGCTGCTAACGTTTTCTTCCATGTCCAGGTTCCTTTGGTCATCTTTAAGAGAGAGAAGGAACTGGCCCGAAAACTGGAGTTTGACGGTCTGTACGTAACTGAACAACCAGAAGATGACGACATCAAGGGCCAATGGGACAGACTTGTTCTCAATACACCGTAATATTACTATATTATTATTATTTATAAATTTATAAACAAGTATCCTTGTGAAGACTCTGAAATGGCATTTCCTTTTATTCTCCACTCAGGTCTTTCCCGAACAACTACTGGGACAAATTTGTGAAGAGAAAGGTCAGGGGCGCGCTATGCTGGTTTTTGCTGATGTTTCATGTATTGAGAGATGTCGGTGACTGAGTGTGTCTATGGTGTGTCTGTGTTGTAGGTGCTAGAGAAGTATGGCGATATCTACGGTAGAGAAAGAATCGCTGAACTTCTGGGCATGGATCTAGCATCCCTTGATGTCAGCGCTATGACACACGAGAAGAAGCCTCAGCATGATCCCTCAATATTCACATGGTACAGAATTTTTTTTTTTTTTTTTTTTCAAAGACTAAGTGTTTCATCTGTGGAATTGGAAGTGACTACTTTGATTCGACTCCGCATGGCTTCGAGACGCACACGATGGAGGAGCACAATTTAGCCAACTACATGTAAGTGTGATACTTTTGTTTATTCAGAAATGGTGAGAGCTAATATTTTGTTTCCTCATTTTGAAATCATGTTTTTTTTTCTGTCATGTAGGTTCTTCCTGATGTATTTAATCAATAAAGACGAAACAGAACACACAGGACAAGTCAGTGTTGTTTTATTTTTAACTCTGTCCAAAATTGTCTTTCTGTACCAAATAAAAATTAAATTAAATAAAAAACTTAACTAAGAGTTTACTTTGCATATAAGAGGGTATACATTATAAATATATATACACTAACGTTCAAAGGTTTGGGTCAGTAAGATTGTTTATGCTCACCAAGGCTGCATTTATTTGATCAAAATACAGTCAAAACAGTAATATTGTGAAATATCGCATTTTAAACAACTGTTTTATGTCAGTCATTACTCCAGTCTTCAGTTTCAAATGATCTTTCAGAAATCATTTTAATGTGCTGGTTTGGTGCTCAAAAATATTTCTTAATAATTTCAGTGTTAAAAAAAATATGTATATTTTTTTTTATATTTGTGGAAATGTACATTTTTTCAGGGTTCTTTGATGAACAGAACATTTACTGCATTTATCATTACCTCATAATGGCAATTATATATATATATATATATATATATATATATAATATCTATACATATATACATATATACATAAATGTACTTAGTGTCTCTTTTGATCAATTTAAGGTGTCCTTGCTTAAGTATTAATTTATTTCAAACAAAATCTTTCTGACCCCAAAATATGAACAGTAGTGTTTGTATATTAAAATTTCAATAATAAACTATTTTAATTTTCTCAATATTTTACTTAATTTGCAATATATTCATTTAAATTTTCTCTCTTTCTAGGAGTCATATGTATGGAAAATGTACCAGGAGCGATGCTGGGACTTCTTCCCAGCTGGTGACTGTTTCAGGAAGCAGTATGAGGATCAACTTGGCTAATTCTACAGCCTTGAAAGTGTGTGTTTGTTTACAAGTATCATTTCAGGAATGAGGGTCAAAGAGGAAATTATGAAAAACAAGCAAAAGAAGGGAACAAGAGATAAATGACCAAGTGCAGCCTTGATTTGACTCTCACAACCCTCATCTTCAGCCAACCTATCACACAGACCACACAAACTCACTCATAATATTTAAAACCTTTGATTTCCCCGTGTTTGACTAAACGAGAGAAAAAGATCTAAGACTGAGCATCAGAAGAAAGCATTTTAAACTGTATACATATATACACACTACATGGCCTTTACTTTTTAAATCAAATCAAGCCTAAATGAACAAACACTCCTAAACAAAGCCTTCCTTTCCTCTCTGTTTTGTTTGTCACTATGAATCTAAAAAATCTCAGTGCCTAATGTTGAATCTTAACTGTACATTGAGGATTTAAGTATGATTTTATTGATAGTCTACATAGCGATCTTTTTATGTGTGGAGCAGCTGTCTAGATCTTATAATCTTAGCTTATATAAATATAGCTTTGTTTATGTTTATTTATTCATGTATACCACAGAAATATAGCCATATGAGTGGTAGCATCCTGCTCTGTGACTTATATATAGAGCATTTTGCCATTAAATATTAAGCCAGGCTTTTTCCCTGGCATGTCGAGCGAATGTGAGATTGCGTGCAACTGAAATATCTTAACACCATTTTAATCTTGAGAGGAAAGTGTTACAACCCCAATATTTCTTTCCCGCCTCTGTTTCAAGTTTCAGAGAATTACAAATGGTCTCATGAGACGTTTTATCTTTGTAAAAATGTGAAACCACCTGTTTTGCACTCTAAAGTCTTATAATGGGATGCTGTATCCTTGCCAAGCACACACTTCCATGGTGTCCTGCTACAAAATGCTATATTACAAATATAGAGAGGGGGAGAGAGTTTGTGGGTCATTTGTTTTATTAAAATCGTCCTCTCTAGATTTACAAGACAATGTCCTTTTACTCTGAATATGGGAAAGAAGTACTATCATGACTATATGCACACTATTATTTATGTTGCTATACTGTCATTTAAGACCTTGACATGAACTGTGTCGTTCAGATAGCAAGACTGCAACTTAATTTATCCATTTAAATACATAGATTATATATTTTTGTTGTAGCTCTAAACAATTAAGATACTCTGAAGTCATTACGCCACAAGTGAGTATTTATGTACCTTTTTTTTGGGGGGGGGGGGGGGGATAGGGGCAGATTGGGGGGGGGGGGGGGGGGTATAGGTCAGAATTTAGTAGAAAAGTGAAAAAGGAATGTGAGTTAGATTAAGTTAACATAGAGGTAGCAAAGACAATGTGTTTTTGCCTTTTAGATTTTTATTCTTCTTTTTGGCGAGATCTCACACTTTATTTTTGTCGAATATAGATAGTCGTAGGTCTCTGATATTTGTGCATCAGACGTCTCCAAGCAACTGATACAAACTCACAAGTGCATGTTCCACCTTGTGCGTTCTGCTGACATGTTGTGACAGCACATTAAGAGCGTGTGTTGAGGTGTGTTTTGCTTTGAGAGCTTACAGAGGGCAGAAATCAACTATCTTCTCTGGATCTGACTGTGTATCAGGCTGAATCCTGTGTTTCAATGCACATTAAACAGATTCCAATATTTTAAGAGCATTGCTGTCTGAACTCTTTTGTTTGCCATGAAAGTTTATTGTCTTTGTGTAATTTGTGCTTGATTAATGCCTGTATGTTCTTATATGTTCCTATAAGATTTTTATCTATAATACATCTTCAATAATTGTAGCAACAGCAATCAATAAGGATGCATTGTAAATATGAAATTCTACTGGTATTTTACAGAAATATATGGATAAGTATATTAACATTACCCCAGTAGGTGACGACAAGTGACTGTCACAATGAATGAGTCATTGAATCAGTGAATCATTAAACCAATTCATTCAAACACACTGATTTGCTCAGGAACAAATCGTATGACTGTGTTTATAAGTGAGTCTGTCAGACTCTGTTCCATGTCTCCTGTTGTGTTTTCCTCCCCCACGTGCTCCAGTTTGATTATTATGCCCATATTTGTTTTTTCCTGTTCCTGTCCCGATTTAGTTCTATCAGTTCCAGCTGTGTTTAATTAATTGTCCCATTAGCTCCCTTGTTATTAAATTGATGTGAACATGTGTCCTTAATAGCGACACCCATTGTGCCCGAGGATCTTGAGGAGCCAGGCCCATCCATTCCCCCTTCCGTGCACCAAGAGTGCTGAGCGAGGCAGTGCTACAAAACCAAGAGGAAACGACAAAAGCCATTAATGACCTAAATGATCAACATAACGAATGTATTGACTCAAATCAACGAGTCTCTGAAACAGATTGCCTCTTGCACAAATGCAATTGCTAATAAACTATAAAACTTTGACTAATGTGACTGTTTCAGTTATGTGTTCCCACCAAGCTGCAAAACACAAAATGAAATAAATCTCTGTAATGTTTCTGAGCTCGGCCAATGGCCAGACTTACCTAAAATGTCTGTATAATCCTCTGTCTTGTCTGAATGGCAGCGGCATTAGGAGGTGGCAGGGGAACTGCATCGAGCATAGGACCATCAGGTCTGGGGGGTTCCTGCAGAGGCCAGATGGCCAAGTTGTGTAGCACAGTTTCCCAACTGGGGCGCCTTGTAAAAAAAAATCATTTTTTAATATTTTTAAATTGCTAAAATGTTCAAAAAAGCATTATTATATAATATCCATTTTTTATGTCGCCAATAATTAGAGATGCACCGAAATTTTGGCTGCCGAAAATTAGTTCACCGCTCAGGTTTCACTTTCACGTGGTGTAACGCTCTGCGTATTATCCCGCTCTATGCGTGTGCACTCCGCTCAGTCGCTCCACTCATACACCGTTCATGCAAATCGGAAACAGCAAAGTCCACTCAAAAATTGAGCCGACAGGAAACATCGATGTAGTACAGTATTGTTTCTGTCTGCAATAGCCCTACTGTGCTGTAACATAGTGTGGTAAATGGGCAACTCTGGTAACGCTGCGGCTGCCCTCTCATTCATTGATCTGCTAACCGCTATGTTATGCTCGAGTGTTCTGATAATAATAGCTTTCGAGGACTAAACATTATTTGGATAATTGGTAAAAAAATAAAAAAAAGTTAAATATCTTAACCCTACTGTTAGATCTAAAAAAAACTAAAAAACTAAAAACTTTAGTTTTAGAAAAACTAAAAAGCAATGTATTTAATTCGAAGGCCTGTCGTTATTTTTTATTTGTGCTATCATTATTAATTTCTTTATTTGTTCTTATTTTATTACTGACTGCTTACTTGTCATTTTTTATTCAATTCAAAGATTGAAATCAAGCTATCTCGTGCTACTGCACCAAATTTTAAAAAATTGTAAAACTGTAAAATAAAAATAAAAAACACTGAGTGAGCAAAACTTTGTGAGTTAGCTAGTTATAATGGTAATTAAATAATGTTTACATATGTATAAAAGCCTACATTAAAATCTGTTATATAAATTGGTCTCTTTATTAGAAATTAGCCTACTGATTGCCACCATTGATGGACAAATTTTTTAATAATATTAAAAATATCTGTATTACATTATATTCTGCAGTTCTTCCCTGTTGTACCGAATATCTATACTTTTCAAATTATCATATCGAAGTTAGAAATTCAAATATTGTGACAAAATACAATTTGTAGGGTGCCACAAATTTGTTAAAATTTCCAAAGGGTCCACTGGTGTAGCACACTGCAAGCCATGATGATTTTGCACACCTTTTCTGGCCGATACTGCAGTGTCCCCCCTGTGCTTGACAGACACAGCCATTGTCCTTTCAGCAGACCTATTGCGCGCTCAACTGTGAGTGCTCATGGGCATGGTTGTACGCCTGTTCCTGCTCGGTCCTCGGGTTGGTTAGGGGGATCATTAGCCATCGCTTTAGTGGGTAACATTGATCACCTAACAATGAGATATTTTTAAGTAATTGTGCATAGCCCTGCAATAGCATTTTAAACATGTTGTTGCCCCAGGTCTTTAAAGGGGCCATATGATGCTTTTTTAAAGATCATTATTTGGTGTATTTGGTGTAACAGAAAATGTTGACATGCTTTAATGTTCAAAAAACACATTATGTGTGTCCCTGTTTCTAGCGTCGGCTGTTAAATGTCATTTCGTGTTCTGTGTTTCCCGTGTTCCTGTGTTCCCTGCTTTGTTTTCATTAAAGACTTTGGATTTTGCTTTACTCCTCGTCTCCTCGCTCCTTCGTTCCCGTGCTCCAAGTGTGAATCATGACAGAACAGCGGACTAAAACAGTAAGCGTCGCCCCTTTTCCCATGTTTTCGTTTTGAATAGTCTTTTGTTTTTCCGTTTTTCTCCCCGTGGTATAAGGACCACCCTGCTGTCAAGCTCGCCGGCCGCGGCGAAAACAAGCCTGCCGGCCGCGGCTCCCACAAGCCCGCCGGCCACTCCTGAGTCAAGTTTTCCGGCCGCTCCGAAGTCAAGCCCGCCGGCCGCCCCAGAGCTCGCTCCAGTGTCGGCTCCAGCCCTAGAGCTCGCTCCTGTGTCGGTTCCAGCCCCAGAGCTCACTCCTGTGTCGGCTCCAGCCACAGAGCTCGCTCCTGTGTCAGCTCCAGCCCCAGAGCGCACTCTAGTGAGGGCTCCTGTTCCCGAGTTTAGCCCACGGAGGGCTCCTGTTCTCGAGTTTAGCCCACGGAGGGCTCCTGTTCCCGAGTTTAGCCCACGGAGGGCTCCTGTTCTCGAGTTTAGCCCACGGAGGGCTCCTGTTCTCGAGTTTAGCCCACGGAGGGCTCCTGTTCCCGAGTTTAGCCCACGGAGGGCTCCTGTTCCCGAGTTTAGCCCACGGAGGGCTCCTGTTCCCAAGTTTAGCCCACGGAGGGCTCCTGTCCACGAGTTAGCCCAGTGAGGGCTCCTGTCCCCGAGTTTAGCCCAGTGAGGGCTCCTGTCCCTGAGTTTAGCCCAGTGAGGGCTCCTATTCCTGAGTTTAGCCCAGTGAGGGCTCCTGTCCCTGAGTTTAGCCCCCCTCCCCGTTGGATGTTGTGTGGTGCGAGAACACGCCTTCCAGGAGGGGGGAGTAATGTCAGACTCTGTTCCATGTCTCGTGTTGTGTTTTCCTCCCCCACGTGCTCCAGTTTGATTATTATGCCCATATTTGGTTTTTCCTGTTCCTGTCCCTATTTAGTTCTATCAGTTCCAGCTGTGTTTAATTAATTGTCCGATTACCTCCCTACCTTATTTAAGCCCTGTGTGTCCCTGTTTCTAGTGTCTGCTGTTAACTGTCATTTCGTATTCTATGTTTCCCGTGTTCCTGTGTTCCCTGCTTTGTTTTCATTAAAGACTTTGGATTTTGCTTTACTCCTCGTCTCCTCGTTCCTTCGTTCCCATGCTCCAAGTGTGAATCTTGACAGAGTCATTGAATAATTCACTCAACCGATTTGTTTAAACACACTGGAACAAAATAAGTTGCTGAATTCTGAACCACATACTAGCATACTACTATTACTATTTTTATAGTATCTTTCTATGACAGGAATAGTAATAGTAGTATGCTAGCATGCAGTTTCTGTTTAAGAGTCATTGAATTATCTGCTCAACTGATTAGTTCAAACACACTGATTCATTCAAGAAATAAAGTGGTTGTGTATAAGAGACAACTATGTTTCCTTCATAAAG